GATTAAAGCCAAATCTACTTTAAAATGTTTAAAAACAAACATTTTTAAACATTTTAAAATGAATCTGTGTATGTATAGTGATCTCAAGTAACTTAGTACAGAGTTTTTCAGCAACTTGAATATCCAAGATAAAGTTGTCATTCAAGGTAAACACTGTCAAGTGACTTACCTAATTCTTTTTTTTTTTTAACTTTAACATTGATTTGTACATGTTTATGGGCTACAGTGTGTTGTTTCAATACATGCATATACTGTATGCATGTATATATACATGCACATATCACTTAGGGCCTACCTGCTTCTGTCTGCAGGCGCGCTCTCTGAGCTGTGAGGTCATTGATCAGCCGCTGCTGCTCTTCTTCCTTGGTCTTAAGTTCACTCAGTTGATCTTCTAGCGTACGGCACATCTTTTCGAGGTTTCCCTGCATTCAAAAAGTGGTAGAAGGCATCTCGAGCAAGTATTTGGATCATGATAACCCACACATTCTATAAGAGCTGCAGTACTCATCTATTTTGATAATAAACTTTCTTTACAAACAGAAACAACAGAGGCTTTAGATTGTGATAGGAAGAGTAAAAGATATGTAGTCTAAATATACTGCCACCAAATTCCTTTGTGAATTTAATGTCTATACTACATTGTCTTATCTGTGATTTGAGAATTTTGCTAACTGATTCAACTCATGAGATATACTGTACAATTATATTTAAATGTACTAAACAATTATATTTGTGCTTAAGGGAAAAACAAAAAATTCAATAATCAATGTGAGGTATTTAAAAAAAAAATCTCAAAATGTATAGTTGAGTTGTATTTTTTAGTTGAAAGAACTTGAGTCTTCACTCTCCATATTATTAGGGTATGGCTATTGTCAAACAGTGGGGACACTGGGGTTGTTCTCCATGTCCCCAGGCTCCTGCCTTGTATTGCATGAGTCTCCTCCTGCCACTTACTTCTCTCCCACCTGTCCTACACAAGTCTCTTCAAGACTTAAATCATGCTTATACCTTGGCTTTGGAGACAGTCTCCATGTTACTAGCAAGGTCGTCAATCTCCATTTTCATCTCACTCTTCTCCTTCTCCAGCTTCTGCTTGACCCTCTGCAGGTTGTCAATCTGCTCCCCGAGCTCGGCCACACTGTCGGCGTGCTTCTTCCTCAGGGTGGCAGCCGTGGCTTCGTGCTGCAGGGTGGCCTCCTCCAGGTCCCTGCGCATTTTCTGGAACTCAGCCTCCCGCTTCTTGTTCATCTCAATCTGGGCCGAAGTGGCCCCACCGGCTTCTTCCAGCCGCTCACTGATCTCCTCCAGTTCCCGGGAGAGGTCAGAGCGCTGCTTCTCTGCTTTGGCCCTGGAGGCCCTCTCTGCCTCGATTTCCTCCTCCAGCTCCTCAATGCGGGCCTGGAAAAGGTGAAAAATACAAATTCAGCTTCTTTGTGTCAATAATTTTTTGATGTTAAATTAGATGGATGGAAATAAGGTACTTACTTGTAACTCCTTGATCTTCTTCTGCAGCTGCATCCCAAGTGCCTGTTCATCTTCAATCTTGCTTTGCAGATTGCTCATTTCAAACTCTTTCCTATTTGAAAATCACTTTGTCAGTCACAGAAATATTAATAGTAATTTCTCCATGAAAATTTTGTCCTCAGTGCTTACTTTTTAAGCTTTTCATCAAGTTGTTGTTTGTCATTTTCTACATCCATGATGGATTCTTGGGCCAATTTAAGGTCTCCCTCCAGTTTCCTCTTTGCTCTTTCTAGATCCATCCGGATTTTCTTTTCTTGTTCCAAAGAGCCTTCAAGCTAAAAGTGAATAATTGAATACAGTTCCTGGAGTAGTACCATCTTTTGTCCCAGGTTGAGCTTTTAAACATTAATTCATATCTGATCAGCAAGCTATTTTTATTTGTTTATGAATTAGGTAGATTTGTTTCATTGATTCCATTTTTGTTGCTATTTACCTAGTCCAAGGATTCATCATTTAAAAGGTGAAATGTGCCTAATTACCATATTATTGCAATGAACTACTAGTAAGGTATCGTGCCTTTTTTATCTTCCCACTGGAATCCATTGTGATCAACTTCTACCACGAGGATGGACACCGTGGTAATATTTTCAAATATGACCTTTGTTAATGCCTCTCTTACTCAGACATTTATACTGGGTTCTCTATTTAATATCAGATCATGTTTAAAATTAAAAATTTATCTCCTGTATTTCTTATTCAGAGTCCCCTTAGTCCCTGTGAGAGAAAACCTTACAGGTAATTATTACTCTTTGCTGTTGCTGTGCTCCCTGCTTAGAACATGCTCCCTTTTCTATATCTTCCCATAGACACTCACTTTCAAGCCCAGCTAAAGACCATTTGGGGTTGTATAGCTTTTCTTCGTGAACACACTAACCTTCCTCTCCCTTAATTCTTTTTACCAACATTGTCTGTTACTCACAGCTAACTTTCTTTAGAAATTTTATTTTTATTTCTTGTGTATACATCTTAGTCCTTGTAGCAAGCATGATGGTCTATATTACTTACACAAAGGAGGCACTTGATAAGTACGCTTTACATCATAAGAACACAAACTCATGTTTTACTTAGTTACAAAATAAGAAGTTATTTTTGTATGATATTAGGCTTACATCATCGGACCGGGACTGGCAACGGAATCGCAACCCTCGGTGCTGCGCCTGCACCTCGCTCAGCCAGTGAGCGGGAACCGGTCTGTATGTGGGATCCGAACCCTCGGCAGGAGTGCCGCTGCGCTCCCAAGCGGCACACTGTAGCAGTGCGCCACCGGGCTGGCCCGGAAAAATATTTTTAATTTTTCCTTCTTTACAACAAGGAATCCTATCACAGTGATTTTTAGTAATATTGTATGTGAAGTTTTATAGAATATTTTAATGAGTTGTGGATTAGGAAAGATTAATAATCAATCCTATAGTTATTTGGAATCTAAATCTTTCCATAGTGATCACTCAACTGAAATTTAAGCATCAGAGTGCAGGAAATGGATTCTGACACTCACAGCTTGAACCTGGAGTTGCAGGTCATTTTTCTCTTGCATCAGTGCAACCATTTTTTCTTCTAGCTCTTTTCTTTTGGCCTCAGACTTTGCGAGGCTTTCTTTGGTTTTTTCAAATTCTTCCTTCATGTTGGCCATCTCTTTCTCTGTTTCCGCACTCTTAAGGAGGGGCTTGATCTTGAAATATAGCTTCATCCAGGGCCAGTGCTTCACATTCATGAAGGCACGGACATTGTACTGGATGCAGAAGATGGACTCTCTGTCATAGGAACAGAAATGTTCAAAGTCAGATTATAACAGGAAGCAGAATTAAGAGGCCTAGACTGATGGGGTTAAGTAAAGTAACCTTATTAATACCTTCTCTCCACCATCTTCCTGTACTCCACTCTTGCCAAGAACCCTCTGCACCTGGCCTGGGTTCTGGTTATCAGCTGGGCCAGCTTGTCATCTCTCATCTCTTCTAGAAGCCCCAGAAGACCAGCTTTGAAAAAGACCTATACATGGGAAGAGTTGCAGATCAGAAACTGTTCAGGGGACAGGAATGGCATCAGATCAAATTTAGAGAATATTACCTTGGTGTGACCAAATTTATACTGGGTGTGGTCAACATCAATGGACCCAAGGAGCTTCTCAGAAGCCTTCTTGCTGTCGATGAATTGTCCTTCAGGGATAGCACTTGCATTTAATACCTTGTATCTGTTTAAGCCAAACAAATAAATGATATAGCTGCTGTTATTGATAAGAAATCTTCCTGCCCAACTATAGAAACAACATAGCCATTGGGTAGTCTAATGTAAACAAGAAATTATGTCTCTACCCCTTTATCTATTCTCTGTATATTCAAAGGACTTAAGACTTTTTATTTGTCAATACAGAATGTTAAGTTTGTTTCTCTTCCCTTTAATTTTAATAGAAGGTATAGAGGATTCTTTAAATAATAAAGTAAGAAAAACCTCTTAAAACAATTCACAGTGAGAATGTCTGACCTCTGTTTGAAGTCTGCATAAAGAATTCTGCTTGGGAATCCTTTCCTGCAGATGCGGATGCCTTCCAGCACACCGTTACACCTCAGCTGGTGCAGGACAAGTTCGTGCTCCATGGCCCCTAAAAGAGAATACATGTGCTGTATTACATGGTCTAAAGCAGACACACTGGAGCTTGTCTGGATATCAGAAATGTCTTACCAGGTGTTTTAGTTTCATTGGGGATGATGCATCGTACAAAGTGGGGGTGGGTGCTCCTCAAGTTGGTCATCAGCTTATTCAAATTCTCCTGTGGAATCATATGAAAATTTGGTTTAATAAATGCATTGTTTTCATACATTCATGTTTATGGACCTAATTATCATGATCCATGACACTGGCTTGATTCTAATGAATAATATCTCAATTTGAATTTTCAAGGAGTTATCTCTAGAATTTCCACATTCCCAACTTGTCCTTCTATTTTCTATTTTTGTACATTATAAACTTTTTTTAAAACTGGCTGTAGAAGTGGTTGTTCCTGCTGTTGAATTTCCTAGCATATGTTGTAAATTTACTATGACACTCTAAATGCATGGAAATACTCCACCCACTCTTTAGATATGTGGTTTGGTTTTACTAGTAATTAAATATCTTCTTCCAAGTCTCCCATTTCTTTCTTTATCTGACTTTCAATTGTATCTGCCTCTCTATCAAATGCTTATTCCTTGTCATAGATACAGAACTATGTCCTCCTGCTGATTCCACGGAAAGTGGCCTTTTAATGCCTCATTCTAGGAATTGGCAGAAAACTGACAGCCATGTTATGAAGTGTGAAAAGTTTTTCATCCTATGGAAATCCTGGTTTTCCAGACTAACTAGAGCTTCCACTATTAGAGGTGGGACTAGAAATGGGATTGCCAAAAGAAAAGTAAATTTTCCTTAAAGATCTATTTCTTATCACATCTGCTTTTTTATTTCCTTCTTTTGACTCAGCTTCTAAGTCCCACGATTCTTGTGTCTTCAAGTTTCAAAGTCTACTCATTTCAGTTCTATACCAAAATATACTTAAGTATCTAAATTGCTTAGAGGCTCCCAAAGCCTCAAGCAAATCTCCTGCTATACTTAATCCTATCCGAGTGGAGTCTTTTAAGTGTCAAATGACCTCATTCCCAGGCCCCCAAATTGAATTTTGTCATCTGATACTGACTCTGCAATTCAGTCTCATCCCTCCTGACTCCCGTATTTTCAAAATACTGAAATATCTCTTCTAAACTATCCCAAAGCTCCCTAAAACTCAGTTCTACTACTAGCAGCTGACCTAGCTCCTGAGTCACATCCAGTTCTAGAATCTTTGCAAGATTACTTTCCCTTCCCCACACAATAGAGTAAAATTTAAAACTCTAAATCTAATTAGAGAGAGAAAATAAAGTGTGTACCCTGAAGAGAGCAGATACCGTCTGGAAGGAAGAACCCTTCTTCTTACCACCTTTCTTTCCACCACCGCCAGCCTCTGAGAAGAGCAAAAAAAAAGCACAAGCAATCATAGGACAGGCATTCTCTGTTTATGTTTTTTTTTTTTTCCTTTTTGTCTTTTTTCGTGTCCGGCAACGGATCACAACCCTCAGTGTCGCGCCCGAACGGGACCGGGACGGCAACGGGATCGCAAACCTCGGTGCTGCGCCCGCACCTCGCTCAGCCAGTGAGCGGGAACCGGTCTTTGTGTGGGATCCAAACCCTCGGCGGGAGCGCCACCGTGCACCCAAGCGGTGCACTGTAGCAGTGCGCCACCCGGCCGGCCTTTTTTTTTTTTTTCCTTGTGTTTTAGAAATCAAGTAAATGATTAATTCTGTTGAAAATTACCTGCTTCAGCTGCTGCTGCTGCCCCAGAGAAGAGGTAAGCTAGAGTTTTCAGTGAGGACTTCTGGTACAGCCCAACCACGGTCTCATTCAGGGGGTCCTTGTTCTTGTCAAGCCAGCCAGTGATGTTGTAGTCCACGGTGCCGGCGTAGTGCACCAGCGAGAAGTGGGCCTCAGTTTTGCCTTTGGCAGGCTTGGGCTTCTGGAAGTTGGCGGACTTTCCAAGATGCTGTTCATACAGCTTGTTCTTAAAGGAGGTGTCTGTTGCCTTGGGGAACATGCATTCCTCTTCCAGGATGGAGAAGATGCCCATAGGCTGGAAGAATGAAAATAAACAAAACCATTTGAATTCTGCCATTAATGTGACATTAATGATCCTATTTGAATAGATTCATCCTAAGTTTGTAGAGTTCATGAAAACCCATCCTTTCGGTCAGAAGTCATTAATTTAACAAATATTTATTGGGTGCCTATCAAGAGCCAAGTGCTGTGCCAGACTGTAGGATACGACAGAGTAAGATAGATGAGGGTCATGCTCTAATGGGTTTGTGTCTTTACCCCAGACGGGTAGAACAATATTTCTCCAAGCATGACTTGGAAATTATCTGCATGAGAATCACTTGATAATGCAGATTCGAAGGTTTTGTCCCACATTTACCAAGAAGTATTTTTAGGAATAAGATTAGGAAAACCTGCACTTGTATTGAGTACTGTTGGTGAGTCTTTGGCACAAATGGAGTTTTAAAGCCTCTGCTCTAAAGTACTAGAAATTCATACTTCAAATGCCAGTAATAATGAATGTAAGATGACAAAGAAATAATAAGTAAAAAATATTCCAGTCGATACTTTTTATAAGGAAAGGTGGCTTTAGGTGTAAGGCTTTGCATTGCAAACTGTGGGTAAGTGCAGAGTTCTGGACTCTGCAGAAAATATTCAGTCTCCTTTTACCAGAATGCCTAACTCAGAGTTGGCAAAAGAAGGAATATTCCTGATTTTGTTTGCAAGTAGAAATCTTTTATCATAGCATATACAAAGTTTTATTATTTTCTTTTAAATACTGTACAGCAGTGAAATCTGTGGTCTAAATAAAGCAAGCCAACCTTCTCGATGAGCTCAATGCAGGCAGCCAGGTCCATCCCGAAGTCAATGAACTCCCACTCGATGCCTTCCTTCTTGTACTCCTCCTGCTCCAGCACGAACATGTGGTGGTTGAAAAACTGTTGCAGTTTCTCGTTGGTGAAGTTGATGCACAGCTGCTCGAAGCTGTTGAACTAAATAAGTGGAAAATGCAAATTAACATTCAATTTATAATGAAAGCTTCTCTTTGAAAGGAGCTGTGATCTGTTGGTTAGCTAACTGCCCTCTTAGGATGGTATGGTTTTGTCCTGCCTCTACCAAGCCCCTTACTTCCTCTTATTTATTTATTTATTTTTCCTGCAGATGGCTGCAAAATTTCTGCAACTGTCACACTTAGAATTATTTCTTAAACACTAGGAAACAGGCTCTCAGTGATGCTTTTCTGTGCAATAAAAAAGTTTGGTTTTTATGATATCTATTTTGTTGATCAGAGGTTTCTTAGTGATGTATCTTTTTATGATTATCCTGTATAACTAGCTAAGTTTGCTAGATCTGAGTCACTGTGGTCTGTATGTTGTTATTATAAAAGGAATAAAAATTCAACAACTAACATTTGTTGAACATTTACTATATTAAACACTGTGCTGAGAGCTTTGTATAAATTATTGCATTTAATCTTCACAGGCACCTTTTTGAGGTGGTATTGTTTGCCCATTTCACAGGTGAGGAAACACTGTTAGAGAGGCTGAGTAACCTGTGTAAAACATGGTATAGTAACTGGCGTGGCAGGGACCCTAACACTTTGACACTGGAGTCAGTGTTTGTAACTACTCCCAGGTCTTGAGTAGACCTGCTCTGCTTTATTATTTAGGACATGTACCTATAAACACAACTGAGGACACCCTTGTCTAGGAGTGTAATCACCATACACAAAAGTCAAAAAGATTTTACAACAGAGACGAACCGGGAAAACATGCTAAATGAAGGAAGCAAGTCACAAAGGACCACATATTGTATGGTTCCATATGTAAAATGTCCAGAGTAGTCAAATCCAGAGACAGAAGTAGATTAGTGGTTTCCAGCACAAGGAGGAAGGGGGAAATGGGGAATGACTGCTTAACTGGTGTGGGGTGTCTTGTTGAGGTGATGAAAATGTTCTAAAATCAATCGTCGTGATGGTAGCATATATCTGTGAATATACTAAAAACCATTGAATTGGCTTAAATAGGTGCATGTATTGTAGGTTAATTATTTCTCAATAAAGTTTTTATTTAAAAAAACTCAGGTTACAAGTTTACGCTGTCATTAGTTTTCTTGTTTAAGAAAGTATAGATTTCTCTTCCTGTTCCTGCTTGGTGACAGAATATTCCTCTCTTTCCATGTTGGCTTGGGAATTTCTAGAAGTGCTGTTGTGCCTAAAACTCAGAAAACTTCATCCAGTTTTTATCAGTCCATGAATAGAAAGAGGTTTAGAAATGCCCATCTCTGAATGAGACACAGCTGAGCTGTCAGGGAGAGGACTTTGGTAGCCTTATTTCCTATACTATGCAGCAGGCATTCTTAGGCAGACAAATTTGAATTTATTTATGTCATTTTCATCCTCTACCTGGGTATTGCAGCAGTGATGCTAATATTTAAACACATTTTTATTTTTATTAATTAGACAGATAGGAATCTTACAGTCTCTCTTTGAATTTGTCATTGTCTTCTCCACCACCATTTTTTATGCCATTGTCACTGGCATTATCTCCTTTATCATTTCCTGAGTACTGACAGGGTGCTTGGTGATGGTGTGAAGGGCTTTAAATTCAGAAATCTTGTAACTGGCATAAAGATCTCGGAAGTGAGTGTATTATCTGGAGTGCTAGGTGCTTTACCTACAGCTCCGACTTGAATTTGCCAAATGATCAGTCAGATATAATTTTCATTATCACACAGCTGAGGGTTGACAGCTGGAGTGTGAATCCAGGTCAGTCTTATTTCAAAGTTCATGCCCTTTCATGGTCTTTTGGTCCTCTTTCATGTGTCAGTTAAGTTTATACCACAGCTATTTTTCATAGACCCTTTTCATGCATGACTGCATTAAAATTTATAAACTTCTCTGCTACAAAGTTTCTGCTAACTCACATCAAAGATCTCAAATCCAGCAATGTCCAAGACCCCGATGAAGTACTGCCTGGGCTGCTTGGTGTCCAGCTGCTGGTTGATGCGGGTGACCATCCACAGGAACATCTTCTCGTAGACGGCTTTGGCCAGAGCACCTACTGAATTGTACACCTTCACAGATAAAGTCATGTTTGTTGGTGTTACTAAATACATGTTGTGAAGGCCTGGGATGTTTGTGATTCATTGAGGTCATGCACTTACCTGCTGCACAGTCTGGCCTTTGGTGACATACTCATTGCCGACCTTGACCCTGGGGAAGCAGAGGGCTTTGAGCAGGTCAGCAGCGTTCAGATTCTGGAGATAGGCTGCCTTGTCAGCAACTGCAGAGACACAATTCAGGTACCCAACATGACCTACTCTGGGCCCCACAACTCATGGGGGTGAACTGAGTAAATGGCTTTATAGAAAGTCTTTGCGAGGGTAAATTTGCATATGTTCATCAGAAGCTCAGCTGTAAAGGAGACATGAGTTTGGAATGGACTTTTTTGCCTATATTGTCTCATTAAACCCAGATGTAGGTTCAATTGGTACCTTCGGTGCCGTCTGGCTCCGCTTGCTCCTCACGCTGCTTTTGCTTGAATTTCAGGTTCCCGTAATGCATCACAGCCCCCGTGAGCTTATAGATGGACACTCTTTCATCAGAAGTGAAGCCCAGAATTTCAATGGCACTCTACCAGGAGAGATGAGAGGATAAATGTTAGGGCAGAAGACACTAATTTATTTAGGAGATGTATACTATATCCTTGACCATACACACAGTGGCCTATTATTTTCATTCCCATACATATTTTTAAGAAAACTCTATGTGTAACTTACGTCTGTGGCCATCAACTCTTCTTGGTCATCAATGCTGGCGACTGTGATCTCTCCCTGACTGACGAAGGCATAGTCGTATGGGTTGGTGGTGATCAGGAGCATTTCTGGGTACATAGAATTCAGGGTATACATTTTCCATTAGAAGATGTTGGTGCAAAGATGTTTACTTCTAGCCCGTGAATTTAAGTTCTTTCTTACCAATTAGATCTGGCTTCTTGTTAGACATGATCTGATAAAAAATGTGATAGCTTCTTTCTGCCTTTAGCTGGAAAGTAACTCTAGACTTCTCTAAAAGATCTGTAATGGATAGTAAACATTGGATTATGGGAAAAAAATTGCAAAGTTGCCTGGAATGAGTTTGGAACTTAGGGTCATTAGCTAAATCTTGTTGACCCCTTCAGATTTCAGCTGAATGTTCCCATGAGGTATCACTCATTATGCCTCTACTAACACCACTCCAGTTTCTCTTACCACCTCTAGCAAGAAAGTGAAACATACTTGGCCCAAGACATATTCACTTTTCATACAGAAGATCCTTGATATTTGGAAAATAATTGAGGCTTAAAATTTCTCTCTCCCTAAGGTTTCCTGTCACTCTATAATAGACAGGTTATTAAGGCTCAGACTAGGAAGAAATCACATATTCTCAACCGATAAGCAACTCATTTACCCCTAGTGTTAGTTTTTTTCTTAGAAAGGTTTGAAATCATTCTGAGGCTGGAATACTTCGGACAAGCCCAACAGTTTCTGGCAGTTCCTAAAGAATCATGACTGGAATTGGTGAAGTATACTGTGGGCTATGGATAAGACTGGCATTAACCACAGGCATGTTTGGCAGCAAACTGGTGTTTTACAGTTTGCTCAGCAGGAGCTGCAACGTGTTCCTCCAAACCATCATTTGTCATTCTCGGATTCCATTTAGGAGGTCCTGTTACTCACATGTTTCAATATCAGCAGAAGCCAGTTTCCCTGTAGTACCAAAGTGAATCCTGATGAATTTACCCTTGCAAGTAAAAAGATGATATTATATTAAAACTTGAAGTACACAAGAGAGAGGCCATTGAAATAATTCAGACATGCTTTCCTTGGCATCTAAGGGCAGAGAAGATCCTTCTGTGACCAACAGACTTACAAAGCGAGAGGAGTTGTCATTCCTCACAGTCTTGGCATTGCCAAAGGCCTCCAGTAGGGGGTTGGCGCTGATGATTTGATCTTCCAGAGTCCCCTGCAAAGGAAAGAGCAGCTCTCACATCCAGGGCTGCAGACTTCTGAGCCCTGACAGAGTCTCGATTCTGACTCTGGCCACCAGACCTACCTGTGTTTTGCCAGGTTCTTCCTTCTTCTTCTCCCCAGTAACTGCAATTGTTGCAAAGTACTGGATGACACGCTTGGTGTTCACAGTCTTCCCTGCACCGGATTCTCCGCTGTCAAACAAAGACCAAACTCATGTCAGAAATTAAGCACTGTGAAAAATGAAAATACTTCTGCCCTCAGTATTTACTACTTCATGCATCTGTCTTTATATCTCTCTGTCAGAGAGTCCTGTAGATTTTTCCTTTCGGCCCACTATATGTTATTTCATTTATTATTTCTCATATTATTATTATTATTTTTTTCCTTTTTGTCTTTTTTCGTGACCGGCAACGGATCGCAACCCTCAGTGTCGCGCCCGTACCGGACCGGGACCAGCAACGGGATCGCAACCCTCGGCATTGCTCCCGCCCCTCGCTCAGCCAGTGAGTGGCCGGTCTGCATGTGGGATCCGAACCCTCGGTGGGAGCGCCGCCGCGCTTCCCAAGCGGCGCACTATAGCAGTGCGCCACCGGGCCGGCCCTATTTCTCATATTATTATTGCTCATATTATTTCTGTTGCTTTGCATTGACAAGAAGTAGAAAAATTCATTCATTATTTATTTAACACATATTCCTTGAGTATTTAAAATGTGCCAGGCTCTTTTCTAGGTACTGAGGCTTGGGCTTAGGGGTCCAAAAAGCAGCCACTCAACAACTGTGTAGTAGACAGACAATTGGTAGAAAAACTCCATGAAGTGTGCATGTGTTCTTCAGCTCCTTTAGACTAGAGATGTGGCCCAAGTTAGGTCTTTGAAGACATTCCCTATGTAGGCCTTAAAAATGAACCACTAGTAATATTCCCGAACTGCTGTACTTTCAGAAGGCTGTATGCTGCTGACTGCCCTACAGCAGGCTCCGGCCATGCTCAGAGAAGGCGTTTTACATCCCCTACCCCCAGGAAAGTTCCGTAGAACTTTCAAGAATGGACAACCAAATGAGGTAATTAGCAGCATTGTCGTTTTACATTCTGATTCAATCTAAACCCTACAGTAACGCTAAAACAGTATCTAGTTCCAGGCTGACTATGTCATTGCTTTAATATGGGGGCATCAGGTAGATTCTTCTTTTGGCTTGTTATTTTCCCAGTGAAAATAAAATAGCAGTAAGTCTCAGAACAAGAATACATACGTGATTAGGATAGACTGATTTTCCCGATCTAGAAGAAAAGCAATGGATGATCAGCATATATATCTGCTATATAAACAAAACTTTTCATAGGGAAACACTTAGGGCATTTGAGTTTGTGTCATATTTTCAATGGAGTTTTAAAATATATTATTGTAAAGTTATACATGGTATTATTCTTAAGTCTCTTTAATTAAGAGAAACATAAAAAAATGTTGTCCTATCTTAAATTCCTTAAGTCACCACAGGAGGTGTGTCCTGTTGGTTTAATATAAAGAAGAGTATACTCCAAAGCCTTCACTATCTGTCATTTGTAGATTTCAGTAGCATGCTGTCTGCTCGTTAATGCATATAGCAGAAAAATGCATAATATGCTAAGGGTTTGGACTGTGATTTGATAGGCTTAAATAATGTTAATCAAGCTGAGGTTGAGATTTAATTTCTAAATGGGTCAATTGCTCTCACAATGTAAAAAAAATTCTTTATCTATAGCCACAAACTGCAACCCTAACTATGATCAGACTTCCCAAATATTTTCCATCATGTTAAAGGAGGATCAGGTAAAAGAAGGTGCCTCAATCAAAATAAAATCCTTTTAAAGGGGAGAAAAGAACGACTTGTGTTTATATGCACATATTCCCAAAACATCATCTTCATTCAAGGAGAGGCTATCATCTCTGAGATGTACTCTGATGACTTTAAAGAGATAATACTTCTAAATGTATTGAATTTATAATCAATAAGAAACTAAGGCACTAAAAAGATTGAACACATATTTTGCATTTCTATTCAGACGATTCATGACTCATTTGTTACTTAATCTTACTCTTATTACTTAAATATATAAAAGAAATCATGCCTTCTCAAGCAAGGAGACTATAAACAAATTAACTTAATTGGGATGGAGCAGTAGCATGGTCTGGTAAAATCATGGAGGCAGAATCAGGAGAGCTGAGTTTGAGGCCCAGTTTTGATAGGATTTACCTCTCTGTTCTTTAGTCACCTCTTCTAAATAACCACGGTGTTGGATTAGATTATTTCTAAAGATCTTTTTAACTCTAATATTTTGTGATTATGGATGGTAAAATAATCCATATGAAAAAACCAGATGAGCCACTCACCAGTCAGCATGAACTGATAGGCGTTGTCAGAGATGGAGAAGATGTGGGGTGGGGCCTCCTGGCGCTTTTTGCCTCGGTAGGCCGTCACCACCTCTGCATTATACACTGGCAGCCACTTGTAGGGATTGACAGTGACACAGAATAGGCCTGAGTAGGTCTGCACCAGAAAAAGTAAAAGAGAAATCTAATTATTTAATGGCAACATTAACCTACCATTTTTCACTGAACATATGAGCTACTCACATGAGTAGAGGCCATGAGAAAGAACTCACGTAGATCATCCAGGCTGCATAGCGCTCTTTGAGGTTATACAGCACAGCAGGCTCGTGCAGGTGAGTCATCATGGCCATGTCCTCGATCTTGTCAAATTTGGGAGGGTTCATGGGGAAGACCTGATCGTCCTTAACTGTCAGAGTCTGGTAAACAGGAAGGATAACCATTTATGTCAATTTTGCTACCAAACAAAAAAAGAATCAGTAAAATGTGGCAGGCTTCTGGGACTCTACTCACTGCTCCTGCTTCGGTCTTCACTGTCACTTTCCCTGATTCTTTGCTCTGGACAGTCCCTTTGACAAAGGATTCCTTGGGCTCCACCACAAAAACAGAAGTCTTGGCATCAAAGGGCCTATTCTGGGCCTCAATGCGCTCCTTTTCAGACTTTCGGAGGTAAGGAGCAGCCTCCCCAAAAACAGCCATGTCGGCATCGGAACTCATGGCTGCGGGTTATTGATGGCAGCCCAGTTAAGGACCCTGCCTGGCAAAGGAAGAAAATTATGCAAATTCAAAAACTGGACCATTAGATTCACATTAAACATTTTTTAAAAATTCGCTGGACATTTGAGTGCTTAGCATTGTGTTGGGTATGATCAGTTCCCTGGCTTGGTTGAGAGTGAAATGCCAGCCTGCTTGTTCTGTGCCAGTGCTGATAGATACTTAATTGTGCATTTGGAAAGAGACTGATGTGTCTAGCTCACCTCCTGTGATATCTTAGCTGCTTTCTGCGTTGCATTTGTTATGGGTCTTAATCTTTATAAACTGCCTATCATTGGCTTATACAGAATGCAAAGCTAGATGATGGCTGGATGGTCTTCCATCCTTTCACTTATAGCTCTTATCTTCCCAACCAGACTATAAGCACCTTGCAGGCAGGGAGCACTCTTCTTTCTATGGCATCCTTCACACCTCTTACGGCATGTGCTGGATACAGAGAAGGGCTCAAAGCTGACTTTGTGAATTAAAAAAACAATAGGAATATGTTGCTAAAATTTTAGAAACTATTTTGTATATAGTGAAAATCTTTTCATTACACACTTGGGAGTTACAAAGAAGACTTAATATAAAGGAAGTGAAAAGGTGAAGAGCTTTGTTTTGCATTGTTTTGTTAAAAAATATTCTATGACACATCAATTTCTCTTGTCCCTATATTATAATTTTTACAAACTTGGCTTCTTCACCAATCTTTAGCATTTCTCCAAGATTTATTATAAAACATTATTACCTATATTTTCTTGCTCTACTACTAATATTCTCATAAAATTTCACAAAAATCTTTCGAGATCCATCTCTTGCCACTTTAGAATTTATTAATCCTGTCAATAATCATCACACATAATCTATTTTATAATAATAAAGATGCTTTTTCCAGGAAAGCTCACTTGGGTCAACTTCTCATATTTTTCCACTCAAACTACAGTGACTCAGATGACTCTATTAAAATTCTTTGTCTTACTGAAAATGCTCACAATCATTTTTTCATATCATATACATATTTTTTAACTTCCACTTTACAGATTATGAAGCAACATGAAAATTTAAGCAACTTTTCCAAGGCAAGGATCCAGACTATTCTATTTAGCCATTTAGACATCATTGCAAATTTTTTTGTATTATATAGAGCTGAGTAAAAACTATAGTATAGAAAATTTACAGTTTGTCTATAAATGAATAACATCCTGGAATGTTGCATTGAATATTGTGAAGCAATCACTTAAAAGAAAAACTGTGATGCTGGAAATTGAAAAAAAAATGTGTATAAAACTCCCAAAGACTCAGAGAAAGCATTTTTGCATATTCCAAAGAATATGAGTTAAAAAGAACCAGTTTCTAAAGTTCCCCCTTAGAGTTTTTCAAGAGAAGCATGATCAGCCATGAAATTGAAATGCTTTTATTTTTAACCTGTCCAGTCACTCTCCAGACTGCCACAGAAGGTTCCTTGTACTCTATGAGGAATGAGAAAAAAAAAAAGTCAGGGTCTTACCTTAGAGATGCAACTTTGAAGTGGGTCAGAACTGTAAGAAAAAGAGCATTTTTTTCTGATTAAAGTCTAGTAATTCCTAATAATAGCATAATATTTAACTGAGAACTAGGAAATGACTGGGAAGACTATGACATGTAATTAAAATTGCTATGGAGTAAGTTGGTGCTTCACTGGCAGTACTGCCAGGGCAGCGAGAGCCAGGATATGTGGCATGCACTTGGGCAGCCAGACATCCCGCACTGACCTGCAGACAGAGCCTGTCCTCACACACACTCACCTTGAAGCTTTATGAGGAAAGACAAGTCATACTCATTCCAAGGGTCCTTTTATAGGATCAAATATGGAAAACACGTACCCTCCTCCTCTTTCTTAAAACATATTTGGCAAAACATGTTTTTGGCATTGAAGGTCTCCAAGCCTAATTCCCTTCATATTAAAGATGTTTGGATATAATTAGAAATATTTCTTCTCACATTGGGTTAAGTATATGAATCCATCTCCTATAAATAATTTGAGTTGTTGGCAGTCTGAAAGTGATCTGCCTTTGGAATAATGTAAGGTGTTGTTTCAAAGACAGCTAAGTTCTGGAATCCCTGGAGTTTGTTGCCTACTGCTCTTCTGTTTCATCGAGTCGCCTGTGTGAGGTCTTTTCAACTGCCTGCACAATTGCGGATATTATACTAGGAGGAAAGTTTCTGCTCTTTAGCAAAATGCTATTAAAAGATTGTTGGTTCCTTCCAAGAAGGCCTGAATGATTTTTTTTTTCAATTTATTTTGCCTTTTCAAGGATGCTGGGAAATTTAATTTTGAAACGTGCTTCACAAAGTTTTTTCGTTTGTTTGTTTCCTTCAGCTGTCTCTGATTCATTGTCAAATCATTCTGCTCTCGTTTCAAACTTGCTCCAAAATTGTGTTGCCTTGCTGAACAGAGATGTCCGGCTTCTCTCTTTTTGTTGTTGTTGTTGTTGTTTTGTTTTAAATGCAGGTTGCTGTGAAATCCTGTTTCTTCTATGAAACTCAACATAGGAAGATATTAGAAACAGGGTATTTCTCTGTCTAGATAGGCAGCTATGACTTCTCTTACTAGCTACCCAAGGTATATATTTAACATTTTGCTTGCAAACAATACCTGAACATTGTTTTCTATTCAAAGTTTTAACTTTAAAAAAGTGTTTGTTTTATTATTTCTGTGGCCTTCATCTCTCTCTGTCAGCATCATCTGACTGGGACTGGGACCAAATTTGCTTAATATACTCTGTTTTGCACCCGTCTCTATATATTGTACTTACATTTCAGTTGATTTAATGGAAATAGGTTGCCTTATGAAAGCAGATATCTGGTGATACTTCTTGTAACGGCTGTATGACTTTGTTACTGTAAAGGATCATCTAATTCATATCCTTCATTTCACAAATGAAGCAACTGAGATCCAAAGAATAGAAGAGACTCTCCACAAATCACACAGCAGTCTAGACCCTTGTCACCTGACTTGCAGTCCAGCGTGCTTGCTGGTGACACTCTTCTACCTGTAGTAGATTAAAGCCATCAGGAAGGGTCTTGCAGGGGATGTGCATTGAGAGGGGCTTTCCTAGCCAACTGTTAGTCCGCTTTGTTACCACAGGTACAACATTTTATTTTCTTGTAAGTCTGTTTTTTTATTAGGCATCTGCAAAATGTGGGTAATGATTTTCAGGAAGAGAGAACATTTTAATAATGTTCTCAATAGCATTTGATGGAACTTTTAGACAACCTTTCTGTCCTACTCTTCAATCAGTAGAAAGTAAGACATTGCTTTTCATCATTACTAACAAGTTATGAGGCACTTAAGCATTAACAGGTGATGTGGGAACAATGTGAAAGAGGGACCAATGCAGTAAGAGTGATTGCATACCCTTCCTAAGGCCAGCGTGACAGTGTGAATCCAGGCACCTTGTTAAACTGCTTCCACATGTCTAATTTAAATCATTCTCACAAGGCCGGCCCGTGGCTCACTCGGTAGAGTGCGGTGCTGATAACACCAAGGCCACGGGTTCAGATCCTATATAGGGATGGCCGGTTTGCTCACTGGCTGAGCGTGGTGCTGACAACACCAAGCCAAGGGTTGAGATCCCCTTACCGGCCATCTTTTAAAAAAATAAAATAAATAAAAAATAAATCATTCTCATTTGGTGCCATTAAACCAAGACATTCTTGCTTTCTATTCTAATTGGAAATTACCATTTAGCTTTTTTTAATGCTGTCCAAGAATTAAACATGTTATATTTTTGGTTGTGCATCTCAGCTGTATCCAGTTGAAAAATCTTGATTCTCTAGAAAAACTTCTCTGAGTAATCCAGATTGCTACTCTATCTACTTTTTGTACCAAACTCATACCTTTTATTACATGTATTGAACATACATTTGAATAATCTACTTTGAGATTCATATTTTATCGATACTCAGTAATTTATTCTGGCTCTTTATATGATTCAACAGGAGGCCACAGAGTCTGGAAACATAAGCTTGTAGCTTATTCATACTACATTATAATATATAAAAAAATATTCTTTGTCTCCAGACTTTATAGCCACCCTGTAGCTTTCATAGGGAGAAGGGTTGCATTTCACTCATGTCAAACCCATTACCCAATGCACATACTATGGGGATATGGTTTATTAGTATTAATGATGAAAATCTTCATGGGCTAATTAAAAATACTTTGGATTTGGTTTGTTGTTGTTGTTGTTTTGTGGCTGGCTGATACGGGGATCCAAACCCTTGACCTTGATGTTACAACACCACTCTAACCATCTGAGCCAGCTGGCCAGTCCTCTGGATTTGTATTCGTGATAACAGTTATTAAGCAAGGAAAATTAATGACATAATTTAGTCTGACTCTCCTATGTGAAAATATAGCTAGTGCCATCCTTTGTATAAACCTGAAAAAGAAAGTTCATGTCAGGGGAAGCAGGAGCTTTCTAGGTCTTTACTATACCAAGATAACAAGAAATGTTAGAAAGAAACAAAAATGACTTCCAGATTTCTGTTAATCTGAATAAGTTCCCTGATGAGTGACATCTTTATAGTCATCAAGTATTGCTTATAGACCTGAAATAAAAGTGGATATATAAATACTTATCTCTGGCAGGATGAATGTGATTGTTTGACAGCCCTGTGATTATTTAAATTTTGTCATGGCTTCAGGAGAGAGAGAAAAGACAAGACCAGTCTAAGGACATTGTTTGAAAACTACCCAATGCTCTTTATTTTCTTTGCAATGGGGTAGAATAGACAAAAATTACAGAGATAAATGACCAAAGATGTCACATTTTGTGCCTTTCTTCGGTCATTCCACAGCACTGGACTTGATCACTCTTCACTTATGACTTTTGTGTGAACCTCCCGGCTCTTCACCCGCAGTTTGTTGACCTGGGACTCTGCAATGTCAGCCCGTTCCTCGGCTTCCTCCAGCTCATGCT